AAAAACTGCTGCTGCTTATGGCTCTAGAATGCCCTGTTAATGGAGTAGGGTGAACAGCATATTCTGGCTTACCTCTTTTATTATTCCATATCCTCTGTCCCTCTCTTACTGATTCCTTTTCTACTGCAAGAATGAGGGTTGTGTACAATACTCTTCATCTAAGGTTTGATTTTAATTCAGTCTTTTGAATATCTTACCACTTTTCTGAGTCCCTTTTGCTGTGTGAATCTTTGGATAAATAGCTGTTATGATCACGGTATTCTGGAAGATCCTGATAATTTACTATTAAACTTATAATATAAAGAGCTTATCTGTGTACTTGCATAGCTTGCTACAGATTAACGTATTGCGAAGATAAGAAATACAGTTTCTCAAGTTTTTCCCTGCCAAACTTTGCTTACCTTATATAGAGACCGACTGTCAGCAAGTGATATGCTTCAGGTGAGAAAAGTGATGGAACACGTGTATGAGAAAATCATAAACTTGGATAATGAGTCTCAGACAACTAGCTCTTCCAATAATGAAAAAGCAGGAGAACAAGAAAAAGAGGAGGACATTGCTGTGCTAGCAGAGGAGAAGATTGAACTTCTGTGCCAGGACCAGGTAAGTTACTTGGGCGTTTTAGCCTGTGAACAAAACCAATGTCTAGCAATGAATCAGTTGTGAATTTCTGAATACTGAGCTTGAAATATGCTATAGATTATCTGTTACCTTTAAAACTAAGTAGATGTTTTGACATCATGTTAACTTACTGCTGACACAAGTTCAGACAGCTGCAGATAGCCAGATCAAAGAATTTATAGAGTATGCCTGTTTAATTTGGTCTGACTAGTAGCCTTTATAGGATTACTTACTCATACTCAACAAATGGACCTAATACAATTCCATAGAGTTCCATTTCTAGCATTTTTGGAATGTTCTGAATTCTACATTTCTAGCAGAGTTCAAAATTTGTCCAAAATCATGAGTTGTCTAGTAAGTGTAATAAATGCATGAAGATTAAATATTGAAGGAGGTGGTTGTAATACGAAGTTATATGTTAAATTGCTAAAATCTTCCAGTAATGCATCAGGTTTACTTGCTCGTTGAAAAATCTGAGCCTTTGCATGGTTCATCTTCGATGCCGGTTCACCCAGAGGATTGTTTTGCCCGACCACAGTGTTTTATCTTTGAATTTCTGCCAATCTAGCAGATCTGTGGAATGAAAGATGAATTTTTACCGTTTAGGTTTTGGATCCGAATATGGACCTTCGAACTGTAAAGCACTTCATTTGGAAGAGTGGTGGTGATCTGACACTTCATTATCGCCAGAAGTCAACGTGAAGGGAGCGGTGGACCCAAATGGTTATTTACTTGACCGTACTGTACTGGTTCCAAGAGTAGTACTATAGAAGCCCACTGAACCCCTAAGGTAGATGAGACTTCTAATGACTCAGTATGGACGGAAAGTATACATTTAATTGAAGTGACTAATAGATCTGTAATATAGAGGAAAAAAATCTATATGACTTAAACTAAAGTCTGTCCTAGTCTCAGCTAATGAGATGGGAAGTCCCTGAGTGGTTCGTGTTGTGTGAGGTGTACAGAGAACGGATGATAATCCAGTGCAGACTTTTGCTTCCTCCTCTTTGCTTTTGTTTTTCCAGAACATAATATCCTCATCTGCTCATGCTTGATATGAAACCATTTTGGCCATATTAGTTGCTGTGTTCACAATATAATTCAGAACTGCACAAGGTATTTTTAGTACATTCCATTCATTAAGTTCCTACAACGATTTCTCACAGGTTACTCAAACATTTCCACCACTTAAAGAAATTTGGAAAAGAAAAACAACAGAAAATAGGTATTGCATACTTGAAAGAATCGGCCCATGTAATTGCAAATGAAGGGTTAGCATTAGAATTGTTTTAATACTGCAACGCAATTGTTGCTTTAGAGAGCTGTTGACATGCAGAATAAGAACACTAGATAAATATTGTAGCAGGGTCAGTCCAATGATGCTGTGCATCATAATAGAGTGAACAGGCTTTGCAGCAACTTAAGAGAATTTTTTTTTTTTAAATAT